AAATAACTTTTTTGATTATGTGTATTATTATAATATATGTAATGTGTATAATTATAACTGAATGTACTAACATTGCGTGCGAGCAATACTTCACCTCTATAATTTTCATGATTGACCGATACCAATGATTTCTTAGTAAGATTTAGCTCTACTACTCTTATACAATACTAATTAATGTATAGAATATAAATTTCCCCCAAATTATTGTAAATTTGTATAAAACAAAAATTAAAGTTTTTTTGGACTGTTCATTTTTTAATTTCTAAAAAGGAAAATATTTTTTTCAAATTGTATAAATTAGTATTTATTAATAGATAATATCCACAGTGAAGAATACTATAACCACTGGCCTTTTTACCAAACAAACATATAATTAAATAATATGTATCCAGGAAATTTTTTGTAGTTTATGTTGATGCACACGCGCAAATAACAACCGCGTTACTTTGCGTGTATATCTAAACAGTAAAAAAACCAATCCCACTCATAAACACGTGTATCTCAGAAAAATAACAAGATTAGCACAACAGAAAAAGTCAAAATTTCCCAAATTATATCCAAAAACCGTTTCCTTCAACGAAATCAGTGCAATAGTTTTTACCATTGACTGATTTCTTTTTAAGCTTACAAGCATCGATTATGACTTTATATTAACATAACAAAATAATAATTAATTAAAATTTAAAAATACCAAGCACAGGGGGGTCGCGGCACAGTGGTGACGTGGCATAGTTAGATTAAGTATAATGATATCTGATAGTGATTAAAATCACTATAAAAAAAAAACGCTTTGATGCAAAACTTTAGATAGTGTTTAATTTTAAAAAATTNAAACGCTTCGATGCAAATCTTTAGATAGTGTTTAATTTTAAAAAATTGGTGTATTATTCCAAAAGCTACATGATCTGCTAGTTCCTTATTAATATCCTGATTAAGATAAAGTATGTGGAATGAAAAAGGGATTATAAAAAAATATTATTTTTCATAAAGAAATTGTGTTGATTGTGTGATAAAAAATTATATTGATATGTTCATTTTTGAAAAAGTTACGGCAGTTTTTAGTAAAAAAAATTGAAAAAATTTCGAAAATTAGCGATTTTTAAATTTGTAATTTTTTTGGAGGTTTCCCCCATTTACGGGGAACGAGGGAAATTTTTTCAATTTTGAAGGGTAATGTCTTCGACTAGATACGATTTGTGATCTTTTGACGTATCGTTGAAAGAAATCCGTTCGGTGAGAGCTGAGAAAAAGTGGTAACAGACACAAAAAAAAACACATCATAGTAAAACCAATACCTTCTCAGCTTCGCATTAAAGCTAAAAAATATGACATATCAAATAATTTTATTTATAGAAAAGGTCCGTGAAATAAAAATGTTTAAATACTCTTTTATACTTTTCTATTTATTAACTTTATATACAATAATTTTATTAAAATCAAAGATCTTATTAATTTATTTTATACATTTTTTTTTCCTCATTTATACGGGGTAATTCCTCATGAAATAAGGAAATGTCCCGTATATTGACTTAAACTAAAAATATCTGAAGTTTTTTTAATCCTTAAGTATATTATATAAACTTTAACTCGGTGTAGGTTTTAAGACATTTTGGAACAGCATCAAATTGTAATTAATAAAGTAAAATTATATCATAAAATTTTTTTAATACTGTATTATTACCACACGTTTTAAATTATAAATTATAATTAATGAGTCAATTTAGCAAAGAACTTGATTGAATACATAGTTTTAATTGTTGACTGATTTTTTTTTTAAGTAATTTTTATCATCATTATTCTTTATCTAACAATAATCCTTTTCCATTACTATTAGCTTAATCGTTAAAAATCTCATTACAGAAACTCTTATATTTATTTAACACCCTTCTGATTAAGAAGCTTAACTTCATTGGAAAAAAAGTTCGACATTGAGTCTACTCTTTTATTCTAAAACGTACAGTACACGTCGACTAAGTGTTGGTTTTTTTTTTTATATTTTCACATCATGAAACTTTTTTAACAAGGGTTGTACTGAATAAAAGCAGACAGCGACATATATATATATATATATATAAATATATATAAAAAAGCTCACCAGCTTTTTACCCTCCGTTTGCGTTGATGAGCATGCGCTTTCCGCCTCTAGTATACCAACCCGCTTGCCTATCATCCCCGGGGAAAAAAACCCTGGTTTTTTTTTACACCACTTATTGATTTTTTTATAACGTTTTTACGCCCACCACTTCCCTTTTTTCCATTATTCGTGTATATAGTTATATATATATATCTGTATGTATGTACACGCGACCCCTTTTTTTCTGGTCCGGGACTTTTTTCAACCCTCTACTCCACCGGTCCAGTCTCGATTCCATACCCATACTACCACCGTTACGATAACCATACTACCCCTCTACCATGAATGAGGAACCGTCCCCGTAGTGAGCTTCATTAGCGCACAATGAATCCTATGGTCTTCTCTAATTCATTGGTTGGTTACAAACATATTTGAGGGTACCATCCACTACACAAATTTTTTAAATAAAAATGAAAAAATATCAATTTTGAGTTAAGAAAATTTTTACTATATTGATACAAATTTAATTTCTATTTTTTTTATAAAATAAGTGGTATTAAGAATTATTTTATAAATTACCTGGAGTGAAAAAATTAAATTTCACGTGGTTGACATAAAAAATGTCATCCGATTATAGGAATACACATATAATATTCATGTGTAGAAAGCCATTAAACTTGTATTAATTTTTTCATTTTCTAACGTTTTAGAAAAAATGATAACAACAAAAATCTTGAATCATAAAAAGGTCTAATAAAAATTAATACTTATGAATTTAGCCTAAAGAAATGAACCCTTATTATCTTTTTCAACAGTATATCTTAATCACGTTTGATTTGATTCGTGAACTTAGATATGAAATAAATGTCATTTACAATTTTCTAGATTTAAGATCTGGTTTTATTTGGAGAATCTGAATAATGTATAAACAATAGTTTATTTATCATTAATTCTTATAATATAATCTGATAAATTAAATTAATTTTTAGAACTTAAAACTTATTATGGTTAGTTATCTGTTTTCATAGGTACTATTATTAAAGTATAATTTTTTTAAATTATTTTATCTGTCAACATTAATATAGCGATATGTAATGAGGATTGTACCCTTTTTACCATAATATCATGCGCTAGATCAGGTTTGATTTTGTTCCCAAGATCTATTAACATTTTACATAATGTGATTTGGAATAATGCGGATTTGTCAAGGTACCATCTTGCTAAATCGAACACCTTGTGTCCAACAAAATGATCATTTATCATATTTTCATTTTACATCTGACAAAAGCATTAATCTTCGCAATTGTGAATCATCGTCATGTACACTAGACGACCACCACCTTATTGCTAATATTTTTTTTATTTAAATCGGGTTACACTTCTTATTTGATTATTTGTAGCTGAAAAGTAATGGCTTTTTGAAATAACAAAATATTTCATTTTTGATAGTAATGTTATGGGTTTGCAGGCTTATAGTTTACACGTATACCATCTTTGTAACATTATTTAATAAAATATATATTAAAATTTTTGGGGTAATTTAGAAAAAATTCTCTTTATGATTCATTTTACTAACGGGTACAACTCTTTTCATAATTCCAGTTTTTTATTTAGTTCCCTTTTTTGAGAACCGCCTCAAATAAACGTATAAAACAAATTAAAATAAAGAAAACTCAGTTTTATTTTTACAGTTATGTAAAAATTAAGTTTTAGTTTTTACACAATTGCTATATATTTCCCGTAAATTGTATGATCATAAAAAAAATTTATTTCATAGTTTATTACATTATAAATAAAAAAATAATCACCCTTACCCTTACTAAATAAAACACCTAAATAATCGTGAGACACTGAGCTAAATGTCATCGTGCAACTAAAGATATATATATCAATCTCAATCAAATTTAAATTACACCTTAAACTGGTTGTATTACATAGAAAATAAGGGACTAAATAGATTTATAAAATATTATTATATCATCATTTATGATAGTAGAATAATATTTTTTGCGACATATTATTTTTCATAAATTATTACGATGACAACCGTTAAAAACTTAGGCGTTGAAACGTAATAATCAATTAATAAGTATTCATTTTACTTGCTATATTGAACTACTCTGTTTAAAAATACACCATGATAGGATAGAAAAATTAATAATAATAATTAAAATTAAATTAACAATTGTCTAGAGTCTAATGTAATTATTACATTAGACTCTAGACCAGTGGTCGGCAACCGGCGGCCCGCGGGCCGTATCCGGCCCGCGTGGCTATTGAATACGGCCCGCTTTAAATTCTAAATCGACTAATTTAATTGAATATCATTTTGTATAAATATAATTGAACGTTGCGTTTTTGGTACGGGTATTTTATATAAGTCATATTATTATTTTAAGTTTTAGATAGTATTTTTTTGCATAATAAATAATGTAATTATAAATTTTTTTTTTTTTATCTGGCCCGCGAACTCTTTTTAATTTGTAAATGTGGCCCGAGAATTAAAAAAGGTTGCCGACCACTGCTCTAGACAATTGTTAATTTTTTGCAAGTATACAAACATAAAAAAAAACTAGTGTATTGCCTGAAGATTATGAAAAAAGAAGAAACAATTTATAAAATTAATTCGTAGAATAATATTAATTATTAATTCAAACTAAATTAGAGTATTTCAGTACAATTTTTAATATTTTATCACTTAAATATTATATAAGGTAAACTGTACTTGATTTTTTAACCAACAAAACAGAACCATTAATTATTAATAAAATATTAGTATTAATTAATAAATTTCGTGGCATCGCATTATTAAACAAGAGTTTTAAATGTAAACGTAGCCGATTTTTTATGTATAGTTTAATATAAAGGTGGGGCTGTAAATCTTTTGTAATCACTATTCTCATTGGTTTATTTTGTTTGTTTGCAGCAATGTAGTGGTCATGGCAAAGATGTAGAGTACAGTTGGGCCAGACAGACAGCTATGAAACAAGGCTACGAGGTAAAAAAATTGCTAATAAGGGTACCTGGTTTTTATTTCTTCCCAAAAGAATTCCGTTTGATTCTTAATATTTAATTTCAGTGATCGTTTAAAACAGGTTATTGTCTCCTATTTCCCTATAACCACATATAAATACAATGTATGAATACAATGTTGAATTCTCTTCTAATCTGCTGTGATTTAGCTAAAATGATTATACAAAATCCACCTGGAATAAATTTATTAATTAAAAAACATTAAATCATCAATCCTTAAGTGTCATAGTATTATTTACATCAATATTGATTCTTAATATTTTTTTTTTTAATGTTTAAAGTACTAATTGAAACTAATTTTCCTATAACTATAATAGTATTTAAAAATTCTTACATTTTATTTTATGTATATTTTTACAGACAGTAATTTTAATTATCATTAAAAAAAAAAGTATATAGAATACGCCAATATGCAATTATACGTATACATGGCAATCTGTAAAATATTAGAATAATTGTTTTATAATTTAATTTTCTAGGCTAAGATGAACAACAACGATCACAACCAACAATTAACAAAAGGTAAGCCAATACTGAACACCTATAATTTTCCCTCCCGTTATAATTTTACTAAAACTAATTGATTCAAAAGTTCTAATAGTTAAATTTAAATATTCGAATTATATAACATTTGCTGAATCAAAATTACTGAAATATCTCGTTCAGTCTCGTCGAAAATATTTAACTACAAAATGATAATAGAAAAAGGTAGATACATATCATAAACGTGGACTATCACACTATTAAATGTGTCCAAGTTGACAGGCAATATTATGTTCACCTTGAACATCAAATAAGTAAGAAACCAACCAACTGTGACACAGCTCAGTACATTCCTTATAATACCACACATAAGTACATCTAGTTTTACTTAAAAATACTCAATTTTTCATGTGAATAATTTAGAAAAAATATTAAGTAGTATCGTTAGAAATAGAGCAGTAATTTCTTATATTTTTTATATTGTTTAATAAAAGTTTAAATAAACAATGGTGCTTTGAATAGGTTTACAGGGTATAAACAAATAGGACCACTCCTACTCATATTATACTTCAATCAATATTTGTAAATCTAAATATTATGTTTCTTAAAATTCATCAACTTTTACTAATAGTTTAACAAACATTTTTTAATCAAACAAATAATTCAATATTTAATTAAAATACAATTATTATATGTTTAATTTGGATATTTATAAATAATCCACTTAAAAATACAGTTTCGATTTATCGAATTTTCAAAAAAAGCAAAATGCTACTTTTATACTTATAGATTTTAATTCATCATTAGAGTGATTACAATAAATGGTAAGCAACAATCTGCCAAATTAGAACAAATTACGTATTATTTTTTATTTAAAAATTGAGTATATGTACATAAATAAGCTGGTTAATTATAAACACATAATTACACAAATTCTTTTTAAAAATCGAATTTATTAATTCTAATATTGCGTAAAATTTGTAATTCTCGCCACAACATTTAATTAAAATTAAAATATAAATATCCAATATGTGAAATTAAAAATTCATGACTAAGTTTTTAATGTTGTGAATTTTATCAAGTCTTTACGGAGAATCAAATATATATTCTATTATACATTTTCTTAATATTAAAACTGGTTTAAACTAGAGAATGAACTTGTTTTCAAAAACAACTATCATGTGTGTTAATAACATTAAATTTAGTATTCATTGATGCACTTAATGTGTGATTGTAAAAAATTTATATCAAGTTGAATTTTGCCACGAAATTGTCGTGTATTAGACGTTATGATGTGTATTTACGCCTCATTTATTATTCAAAAACAATTACTTAAAGGTCATTAAAAAAAATACTACCCGACCAAAACTCACAGAGTGTCTTTCAAAAGTTACCTCCGAAAATTTAATCTTAATCAAAGTTTTTCTTTTAACAATGCAATCGAAAATTATATATAAAATTTTAATTACTCAAGTATCAATAAGAGAATAAAACATCATAATTTAAAAAGCTATTTGCGCATAATATTTCAATGACACTGTATTCATAAATATTCTGTTAAAATGCTTAAATTATTGACATAAGTTAAAATTGTATATAACTTTGGGTATGTCTTTAAGAAATATTAGATTATTGACATTATCAATAATTAATATGTGAATTATTAAAATTAATAATTAACAGAGTTATTCGGTTAATTATCTACTCAGCTCTTTGACCGTCAATTTATCCAATTATTGTAAAATCATCTCGCAGTTTAACAAGAACTAAAAAAGTGTAATTTTATTATTAGTAAAAAATTGCAATATAACTAACATCATTTGGGTGTCTTAGGTATGGAAGATGGTTCTGGCATGTACCAACAACACGGTGCTGGCACGCCTAGATCTCACAGTACAGCGAGTACAGTAAGTAGCGTGTCTCCTAATTCAGCGCCTCCTATGCTAATTGTACCACATCCAATTAATGCTACTAAAATCACCGACGCCCATCACGTGGTAACCCATCAGAATGGTGGTGGCCGAAAGTATACATGTAAAATGTGTCCATCGGTAAGTAAAAATTTTTGTTTGCAAAGTAACGATTGAGGTTGTGATTTTCAACAGTTATCCGGTTAATTTGTCTTAACATATTTTGTTGGTTTTTGGTAAATAAATGTTGGAAAAAGTTATTTTCGTGCTACACAATTTTGCTACCGTATCGCTGTTATTTGGCAAAGTATTTTTTTTTTTTATAGAGAAATATACAAAAATCAGTAAAAACAATATACATTTTTAATCGTCAATTAATTAGTCATTAAGAAATACAGTTTCGATCAAATATCTGGCTCACTGGTCAAAATACGGCTAGACAACTTGTATTCTGTTTATTCCAAGTGCTGCTGTAGTCGAGATCTCCTTACATTTTTATTATTGTTGTCGGAATAAACAACTCTTGATAGATTTATAACTACGCCTTTCCAGCTAACAATACCCTTTTTCCTTTTAATTTGATGAATCGCTATAAAACCATTTCCTATATTTACGGTAAATAAATCAATATTGTCTGTAGTCTACAGGTATGGCGTGTTTCACACAATAGCCACTACGGGTTTATACCCTCGAACAACCTGATCTTGTCTTACCTCCGTATAGTTTATCCGTAAAAATCATAATGTTCTGTGTTATTCTGATCCCCAACAACTCTGTTTGGTATCTGTTTTAATTATTAGTTAATCGTTCACCTCCTACTTTTGAATGTATGTACTCGAATATTATTTTTGCGCTAACTGATCTTTATCTATTTAATTTGTGGCGTTTATATCGTCAATGAACAGTGACCAATAATAAATAAATTACAATTATAATTGTATAGGTTCTTCCGTTGACGCAAATTAAAACAATATTTTATTACGATACTTGGATTATCAGCGTAACGGACTTGTACACTGACGGAAACGTTCGGGTTCATTTAGCAGTATAAGATGTCGTTTTACTTTTTTTATTCTTTCCTGTGACGGCTGCCTTACAATAATCTCAAATTAAATTGGACGATACAGCGAACAGAGAGAAAAAATAACATTTCGATTGTTTTTGTTCCGTTTGCACACGTTGTTCACAAAAGATTTTTTAAAAGTGGACTGAAAATAGGGAGGAATTCTCGACCCTAATTTTTCATTTTGCGCGCATTTCACCTTACTTATGTTTAATACTAAAGCTTTAATTTTATAAAAAAAAAATAATTTGTATAATCTATAACGTAATATTAGAAATAAATGTATTAATTATTTAAAATAATAAAAATAGTTAATAGTTTATCGTTATAATTTTAATTGTTAAATCGTTATATTCGCAATAAAAAATTTTAAATAAAAAAAACTAATTATTAATTTTTATACATAGTACAGCAAACTTCACAAAAAAATATTGTTGTTTACGTGTTTTTTAAATTATTATTATATTAAAATATTTTTATTATCCAGTTGTTTTGTTGTATAATTATGGTATATGATTACATTCACAACAAATGATTATTAACAACAAGCGAATTCTATCAATAACGACTATACTTTAACATTAACATGTTGGACTCAACTTGATGCAACATATTTTGAAGTCCCGACAAGGGGAGTTATAACATAACATGGCTGCAGGTAAACATAATAGGGTTAGACCATCAAAGTCATCATATCCGACGTACATAACCTTAAACGTGTATGCTATCTTCATTAGATCAACAGTCGTTTCGTCATCGATAAAATAACGGGTCTTTATCTTCATAATTTGTGCCTACAACGGGGGTGGATGGGATAGAGCCCAGGTATGTCTGATCATTTATAAGGGTTATTCTTAAACTTGATGATAGCGTATGGAGAGAAATTAGTGTTACTGCAGGTGGCCAAAGAAATAATGACTAAGACAACTGTCTAAAGCAAAGAAATGCGATTATTAAGTATTTCCACGACAGCTTAAATGGTATCGTATAACACTGTTAGCAACTGACTTTTTGCACATATACACAAGTCAAATAAGTTAAACTTCTATTAACATTAATTATCCCTATTAATTAATGCAGTCGTGTGATATAATGTCGATTCGTTATTGTGTATAGTCCCTGAAAATCTAATACGTAGTGTCGCAAGTATGTTCTCCGTTTTTCATGAAACAATGTCGTGTCANGAAAATCTAATACGTAGTGTCGCAAGTATGTTCTCCGTTTTTCATGAAACAACGTCGTATTAGCTGATAAATAATTAAATATAATTGTATTATTATTCTCTAGTAACTAATTTTTCTACATGATAGTCTCATGTAAGTTACTTACAAAATATTTTTCACGAATATATTGTAAACATTTTTCTGATTTATTAATAATAATATATCGTGTGTAAAATTATTAATATAACTTTGAGGAGAGGAGAGCATTCTATTTTCATCACCACTGATTGCGCAATTTTTGAATAAACTGAGTCCCTCTGAATAAATTAATGTCTATCGCACGATCGACAGTGAAGATTTGACGTAAATTCGAGTATAGTCTTACAATAATTTAAAAACAGTAAAATATAAATTTATGGCAGCAGCGTGATAATAAGTGCAAAAGACGATAAAAGACAAAAATCGGATGATATTTGGCTGTTTGTAATTGAGACGTGTGGGGCGAGTAAAATGTTATTGATTTTCAGCAAAAAAAAATAGCAGTTGAAGGGACGATACCGATACAGTGTCAAAATGCATTTTTTTTTACCCTCTGCAACGGTGTACACTAGAATAATTCAAAACAATATTATCAAAATATCAAATATTTAGACACACAATAAACTGTTGACGTTGATCTTTCCTTCTAGAAATCTTGATAAAAAGTGTTCTTCACATGTTATATTCGTGAGAACCCGTAAGATTACAGCGTACGTTTCCTAGTAAAAATCATGTATAACGAAACTATCTTATTTTAACTTTACATTCGCGTTAATAGTAATATTACAAGTGATCGTAAACTTTACAGCATTTCGATTTATGTCGCTAATATAATAATAAAGCTGTTGTTTGTCTTTATAAATTTCAACTCCAGAAAAAGATTAACAGAAACTTTATAGAGACTTCAAGTTAGAACGAAATGCGCTCATTTTAATGGTTTTAACAACGGGCAATAACAGTTATTTTTTTTATAGTGGTGCATTTAGTGCAATACTTGTTTTACATGCGAGCAATTAAATTCGTTATATGATCCCTGATTATAAAGTCTTAGATTTTTTTTATTAATCGACTAGTCTGTGTGCAATATAAAGTCATTAGATATGGTTGTGGATAATCAATCGCAATGTATTATTTTCAGTAGTAAAAAAATCAAAATCAACGTAAATTTTTAAAAGTCTGGCCTAACGTATGTTACATATTTATGTACAACGCTAACTTCAAAAAGATCCTTAATATCAATTTTTAATTTTTATGACTTGTTTCTAATTATTATGTGTAATACTTAGACAGTAGATTGTTACCAATTAACTCCGTTTGGTTAAGAATTGATTAAAAGAAAAATTGACTTGAATTTTTTTTTTTTTTTGTTAATAAAATTAACTATTTAAGACATTTTTTTTTATTATTATTAAAATTGCCAAGAAAAATACCAATGTGCCGACAAAAGAGTACAATTATCGTTTTGTTGAGGTTAGTTCGTGACAAATTCTTGGATCATAACTATTATGGCATTGTGTGTTATAAAAAAAAAAACATTTAAAAATATATAACCACTCCCCTTTAAAACATTATACTGTTTTGACTGTAATTCAGAAATGTGAAACCCTCGTCGTTTGAATCCTTTCTTGTTACCTAAGGAAAATGAAAAAATGCAGGCGGCCTTAATATATGAAACATACATGACATGCCGACAAGGCAAAGAAGACATCCCCTTAGAAGTTTATTGCCCAAAATCTTTGTAGGCCATACCCGGAACCTGAAATGAACTAACGCGAAAGGGATACAGCAAAAAATTGTAAAAAAAAAAACGAAAGGGAAAAATGACACGGTTTAACGTGCTAGTTGAGTATGTAATGTTTATATTTATCGTCTTTATATGTATGACGTGTACCGGAACGCCAATCGTTTATTACCAATACTGTTCGATCTTCATCCCCAATGAATAAAGGGTTATCTCAGACCCTCTTTTTGCCTAAATAAAATAATCGCTCTTTGACTCTCCCCATTAGAAAAACCAACTCAAGTTTATTTATTTGTCTATTATATTATTATTATTGTTTCGCTATGAAAACATTCGGTATTATAACAAACAATGAAGTAGGAGCCACTTATTCATAACATTTTTTCAGTAATAGAAAAAAACTATAAAACAATGTATTTTCTATTTTTTTAAGAGTTTCAGGGACAGTAATTACACTTGAATTTTCGAGCATAAATAAAATATAACTATCATTACTAGGAATTTTTATTACTATTTTTTTGAACGTACACGAGCTGTCATTATTTATTTAATGAGTTACTATCGAACCAAAAATGTTATCGCTTTGTAATATGTTACTAAGTAATAATTCTCAGCAAAGAATATTAATTTGAATATTCTATTACATTATACAAAAAGGCACAATTTGAACAAACTTTCGGGAATATCAAATTTAATTTCTCATTCGAATTTATTTATGTAATATTATGTGTAACCTCTTTAATTAGTGGAGGACTGTTGATGAAATTAGGGGAATTGGCCCCTCAAATAAAAAATCATAAACAAATCAAACTATAAACCTTCGAAATTAATCTCATAACTCAGAACTTAAAAAATAATTTCAATCAATGTTTATTTTATTATAGTTGCAATCGATTGGATTAATTTTTTAACAAAATGAGTTCAGTAAAAATTTGGACCAAATCTTCTTGCCAACTTTCCTTTTTAAGTATAAGAAACTTAATAACTAATATAGGTACTTAACTAACTGAAATGATTTCACAACACTATCAAATAAGACTTCAATATTTGTTCTCAATGTATCTAAAAGTTTTCTAAGTAAAGTAAGATTCACGTGTTTAATAGTTTGTTAGTAATTTTTATAAGAAAAAACTAT